CTGTCATTGCTTTGTAGAAATGTGTTGAACTGTTGAAAAGCCATAAACGGGGAAAACTTCCCCGGGTCATGACGACTAACAGACTGATCACATCACGACTTAAACAGACATTGTACTAGTGCTGCGTCTCATTCTTTTTTCTCCCTTAACCGGATGTCAACAGATCTTTTGGCAGATTGGGAACTGGGTTCCAGTACCTGCCATTAAAGATCTTATATGAGTCAGTGAATAACTTCCAGCTCCAGGCCCAGTATGTTGACATCTACCTTGAAGGTAGAGGCGAGAAAAAAAAAAGAAAAAAAAATGCTCACGACATTATTATCATCATTAGCAGCCAGTACCTGTGCCTGAGCTCCATTGATCATCAGATAATAAAGCTTGCTGAGGATGCTCTGCTGCAGCTGGTCCCAGGAAATCCCCCGATCCTCCCTCATTAGGAACGGAGGTCCGAACCTGAAACGAAGGAAACCACTGTTACAAGATGAAAAGGCAACAACACACGACATCACGACCCGACCGCCCCCGCGCTCACCCCGACCGGTTCACACGTCTCCTCGTCCCATTGTAATGTAAATAATTATTTATTATCACTATCAGCGTCGGAGCAGGATTCTCATTATGGACGGACAGAGGCAGATAATAAGGAGTGAAAAAGGCTGATGAGGAGAGGGAAAACCATCCTTCTGCAGTGATAGATCACATTACACATTATAATACACGTCTAATTGAGGGCAGCCCTCCATTGTTTGCATGGGATTTATTAGTGTGGAACCATGTGAGCGTCCACAGAGAGACGGAGGATACACAGCGGACGGGCAGGGAATGAAAAGTAGGATTCACTGCACATGTAAGGGCAGCGTTTCCTTTTTAAAAATTGTATTTTATGCTTTTAAGCTCTTGCAGACACTGAAACAAAACAGCAGAAACCAGTTCCAGAAGCTTCCCTCAGATCTCTCAGAGTAATGTTGTCACTTTAACCGTCCACATCTGGTTGTAGCTGTGGAGCAACAGATTCAGTGACTGTTATAGAAGAAAGGACAACACATGAAACGGGATGGTAGAGTATCTAAAACGAACCATGACGATAAATCATGCAGTGAAATCTAATACAGTCGTGACTCNGTGAGGATGAAGGTGTAGAGATGATGGATGGATGGATGTTTTCTCATTTTCTAACTAAAATACAGATATGGTTTATTGTGTCCTCATCTTACTACAACTGTAGTTTTTACCAGAAGAGCTCATTTGCAATATCCAAAGAGGAGTTCTGGTAAACAGTTGTCATTTTGACCTCACAAGAAAGGCCAATATTTACTTTTAGTCCAGCCGCTAAAGATGGAACTGATGTGGAAACTGAGCAGCATCGGTAAATGGTAAATGGACTGCACTTCTATAGCGCTTTTCTACCTTAGGGGCACTCAAAGCGCTTTACAACATGTTTCTCATTCACCCATCGGCCACAGAGCTGCCATGCAAGGTGCTGCCTGCCTTTGGGAGCAACTTTGGGTTCAGTGTCTTGCCCAAGGACACTTCGACTGTGGGGGGGATCAAACCACCAACCTTATGATCAGAGGACAACCGCTCTGAGCCACAGCCACCTCATCGGTGAATGTAATAGGCCGGTATTATTGTCATGTACTGGGAGTTCAGTGGATAAAGGTTCCTGCTCCAACATGCTACCCAGGAGAAGCTGCTTTGTCCACAATCGGCCTCGATGGAGGAGACAGCGGCCGTGTGTGCATGACGAGCCGGTTCACCTGACCGCGGTTCGGCAGGTGCAGCAGCGAGAGGACAGCAGCTCCTCTCTGGCTGCAGCTTGTGCCTGGAGCCCTCCCACTTGTACAACACAGTGTCATTGTGTGGGCACGCTCGGCTCCGTCTCCAGCCAATAAACCTGCTCTGGAACAGGTGCGCCAGCCGGCACGGAGAGGGGAGGAGGGGGGACCGGGTCCGCTCTGCAGCCGGTGCTCAAATCACGGCCGCCCACACACACACACACACACACACACACGCACACACACACGCACACACACACAATGATTAAAAATATATGATTTATAATCAACACGGATGTTTTATTGTTCCGTGTTGTTATTGTTTCTGCTGATTTATCGCTCAGGGCTGCAGGGCGTCATTATTCCAGGGCTTTTTGTGAATGTAGCTGCAGTGAATAAAACATAAATTATGATAAAAAATATTTCCGCCACTCTAGAGCCTATAGCTGCAGAATTTATAGTAGACGTCCACATTTGAATAGAAGCCACCACACAGAGCCTGTAAACAGTGTTTACACTCTTGGAAGTTTTTGGCTTTTGATTGCTTTTCAACATTTACAAGAGTTTATACCATCAATCTCCTTCATGTCAAAGTGAAACCGATTTCCACAAAGTTGTCCCAATAATTAAAAATATAAAACAGCAGTGA